ATTTTCGGTCACCCCTTTTACCTACTCACATATGACAATTCGACTGTTGGTCTCGACGAGATCTACCGTGTGCCGCACAGCAAAGTGGTGCAGGGACGATGAATTACACGTGAAGTGTGTGTGTGTCGTAGCCCATTGTTGGATCACGAGTCCTCGCCGGAATCCAAACTAGTTGTAGTTTGAAGACGGAGGACAGCCGAGACCTCCACCGGCTTGAGCCAAAGGTCCGCGGGGGTGCGTTGGGTGCCTGGCCTGCTGACAGTCATGTAGAAAAAAGCCGCAGTCGGGACAACTGAACGGGTCGAGCCGGTGTTGGTACTGGCGAAGGAGCATTGAGTAGTCACTGCGTAGTTGAGCGAGTGAGTCGCGGGAATTGTTTTTCTGAGACCGCAATCGGAGGTGGATAGCCGCTCAAAAGGACCGGGGGATGGTAACCTCATTTTTCCTCGACGACGGCTCTCTGATGAAGACGCTGGAAGCCTGCCTTGGTGGCAGAGCAATCAACGGGTAGACCCGACAGATACGAGGCGACAGCTTCTTTGTGCAGAGCTCGAACAGACGGCCGAACGTTGTGGCTGGGTTCAGGGGCGTGGCAACGGTGGTGATTTGGATGGCCGCACACATGAAGTAGATTATATCGGTAGTAAATTTGCTCATTATGTATCGTTTGCTCTCTACCCTCACCCGCCTGGGTCCTGCGTCATGAACAAGTCAAGAAGACCGGAGGCGGGAAAAGACGCAGGCGGTTTGTGTTATGGGAACCTTCACCTAAGCGTGTCATCATACAGGCTTCGATCCCACTGACTGGGACTGTCATAGAGGCCACATTAAGAAAGAGCCATTGCAGCCTACCTCTCAGTCCGCCAGTTGATCCTGTGGGGAACTTCGCTTTTCTGTATCCTCACGTTGAATTACTCTCTCCTCCCTTTTATAGCCGCAGACCTTGGCGCAGTAGACTGCAAAGACCAACCAGACGATGGCTCAACTGGAGAATTTGACGGTACTGACAGATTCCCGCATTCAGCGGCAATGATGGACGCCTTCAAACGTATATTCGGCCTTCGCACCTTCCGTAGAAACCAGCTACAGGCCATAAATGCTGCATTGCTGGGGAAGGATTGTTTCGTCATCATGCCCACGGGTACGCACAGAAATCTATTCTCCTGGTTATTTCCCCCCCCCACATCAAA